AGCACGTGAAATGTTAAAGTTCAGTACAAATAAGCCAGACAGTACAATTAGAAAAACACTTGAAAAGTATGGCTTGTTTTGGAGGGTTGCCAGAAGAAAGCCTCTTCCCTCTTAAAACTAACATGGCAGCACATGATTGGTGAAAACCAAACACAGCATATTAGCACAAACAGTGTTAATTATGATGATGGTGTGGGCTTGTTTTGCATTCACAGGTCCCGTGCACCTTGCAGTCATTGAGTTGACCATAAACTCCTCTAGAGGCATTCTAGAGTCAAATGTGAGCCCATCTTTCGAACAGCTAAAGCTCAGCCAAAAAGGCTCCGTGCAATAGGACAATTATCCCAAGAAACACCAGAAAATCTGTAACAGAATAACTGGAAAAGAAAAGAATCACAATGCTGCAATGGCCCAGTCAGAATCTAGAGCTGAGCCTGATCAAAAAAGAAAGCTGTGCATAAATGAAAGTCCATAAACCTCAATGAACTGAAGTAATGTTGTAAATCAGAGTTGGCCAAAATTCCTCCATGGTGATATGAAAGAGTGATGAAGTCATACAGAAAAAAACTACTTCAAGTTACTTCAAGCTATTCTGCTAAAGGTGGTTCTACAAGCAAATGAATCACGGGGTGTAGTTAGTTTTTCATATTTAGCATATTTTGTAAATAAAGAAAAACTATATTAGAAAAATATGAAGAGATTGATCACATAGTGCAGACCCAGAGCAAGACAGCCATAGCAGTGCTGTGCTAATGTGTGTAAGTGTATAATAAAAGTGCTGTATTATTGTGTGATTCTACTCAAATCAACAAAGGAAAGATGAGAAGAACTGGCAAGTAGGCTAACTTCAGGAATGGTGAGACTATGTGTCAGAGAACTGACTGGCCAATTTGAAGTGATTTTGTATGCGATGATCTCTTATCTCAAGCAAAACCTCTTCACGAGTAGGCTAAACGTGTTACTGTGACGATAAACCCAGGGTTAAAACTGAAGTTGGTTCACTAAGCCCCTAATCCTGCTTTGTAATGCAGGCTTCTGTTGAATTCTTCTTCTTGAACCTCTGCATTAAGATGTCCATGGGCCTTTCCCATCTGTGACTTTACGATTCACTTGTTCAGTGCTGTCATCCTTACAAACAGCTAAAAAATTCACTGCTGCATCAGTGCTGTGTAAAACACTGACATAGGTTTCCCACCCCCCATCCAAACAAAAAGCTAATTTGAATGTTTTTAATCTTATATTTTATATATATATATTATATTATATATTTTTATGTTTTTAATTTTATATTTATGGCAAAAAAGTTGTTTTTAGTGTGAAAAAAAGGCTCATAACTAAAATAAAAAAAGAACACAGAGCTTGCAGTGGATGTACGCGTTCTCCTTAATAGCAAAATAAATTGTTACATTGTTACTTCTTACTGTTATGCAAGACATCACTGATGTGTGTAAATGAAATCAATAATCTGAGTTAAAGAGTAATTAGAGAGGAGGAGGGACTCTAATGCTTGTAGGGCTCTTGCTTTGGTTTTGATGCATTACAAAGGACGTGAGGTTTGTGTATGCTTAGCTTTGTTTTGGTGTGCACACTTGCACAGTTGTCATGTGTAAATCAAAATTACAATCTGGAAAGCCAATGCAACAAAGTATAATAGATCCAGTCTCACAATTTATATGATAAACATTTTCTTGGTTATAATGTGTTTTGTTTGTTTATTAGATATGCTGACTTGTGAATAAATTGCATCTTCTCATCATAGCACTGGTCTGTTTGTTGCTGACCTACAACTTTATGTATTACCAGCAGCAACATTCTGTTCCAATCCTGATCTCACTTTTGTTTGCCAAAGAAAAAACTTAAAATAGACCTTCTACAAACTGGCATGAGTTTATAAGAATTGTGTTAACTGGGTTTGGTCTGGTTTATTTTATTTTTTAAGAGTACAGAACTTTATCATTGCTGAATTTTTGCATGTTTAATCCACGTTGAACTTGTTAAATATAAGTCAATCCCCAGGGACTACCACGTTATAACATGTAAATAATGCATAGCCTGGTGCAAAGGTTTTTGGCCTCTAAAGCCGATTTGCTCCAACAATATAGAATTCATTAAATAATATATAATTAACAATTAAGGCCTAGAGTTAGAGGCATGGCCTCTTTTTTAACAGGAGTGCTAACATGGGCAGATCGTATCTGCTATGGCTCATGTCCTCTAATTAAAGTCTCTATAGTTGTGGTTATGATTGTTGTGTTGGTCATTACGGATGCCAACTGTGACATCAACCTGCAGAAATGCAGTGCTTGAGGTACGTGGGATTTTCTGAAGCTTTCTTCAGAACGTCTCATCTTTTCCAACTGATGCGGCACACTCCCTCTCTGTCATCTGACAATCTCTATTCCCCTACCCTGAAATGTTATGAAATGCTATTT